CACTAAGAAAACTACTACTCATTACTACTGTTCATTTCTACAGATGCTTAAAATGCAGCATCTGTGCCCTGCCAATCAGTCCGTTTCATAACTCAGGTCTGTTGCACCATAAATAGTAGTCTTCTATTAAAAGTAACATTTTACAGAATGAAAATTTTAGATAAATATATATATATATATATATATATATATATATATATACATATACATATACACACACACACTATACTGTATGTACAGACCTTTCATTGTCATTTCTCACAGAATTATATCTCTCTCTCTTTATTTTCACACAAGTTGTAACATATTTAACTCGAGGAGGCATGTCCTAAGTTAAATCATGCCTAGTTCATTATGAACATACATTTATAGCATTAGCTAATGCAAGAGGACAGTGTGAAAGACAGTCCATGAAAGTGAGACCATTTACAAAAAATGACCTTCATTTCTTGACACTGCAGCAGCTCAGCTGCTGTACCCACACACTTAGAAAATGTTTAGACACATAGCCAAACAATGACAGAGTGGTGAGAGGAAGAGCTGCTGCCACACTCAAGCAGTGCTGTTCTTGCAGTAAAGCTCCAAACAGAGACACTAGTACTAAAATAATGGTCATAGTACAACTGTTGTCTCTCCATAGGCACAGCCCCAGCAGTCTTGTGTGTCATTAGGCCTGTAGTGCACTGCAAAGAGGCAAGTGACACATACTGTAAGCATAGAGGATTCATACCAGTAAACATCCCAAAGTAAGAGCAGCAAAATGTAGTGAATGAGTCAGTGCTCCAGACAGCGCTCTTATTGTAACAGTGTTCAAGAACAGAGGATAGACACTATGGAGCTGTGTGACTGTTGCCATTTCATTCTGTTTACTGTGGGTAGCCTCCACACATGAATGGGCTCATGCTGATATGTAAAAGTGAATATCCATGGTGCAGAGTGAGTTTTGTAAGGCTTCTGTAAAGAAGAACTGGATCATGACAACCCACGCTAATAATATCAAAAGAACAATGCCACCTTCTCATCACTCAGAGTGCAATGAACCAGACAGCAAATCAATGTAAATTAAAAGTGGCCACATTTGAAATGGGATACACTATGGTGAGGCGATGGAATTGGTTTCATTAACTAGTTTGCACAATGAATTATTCAAATCACAACCAGGGGAGAATGACGGCTTGTGTTTACACAGTGACCCTAATTATCAAAATACTTCATTAGCAACGTGGACTCTCCTGGTATGTTGGCCTCATAATGTTTGTCATGTCAGTGAAATAAATAGGCCTATCATAATAACATCATGTATAATGCTCCAGTGTTTGAGCACACACTAAGCATGTCAACGTTAGGGTTTATATTTTCAGTATTCCCAAACCATAGTAGTTAGTAGTAGTTAGTTTGGTCATAACGCCCTAGTGTCCTTGACATCATAATGCTATAATGACGACATGAATTACAACATATTCTCTTACTCTTACTCATACTCTCGCTTTCTACCCCACAACACACACAGTCACATGTAATGTGACATGGACACACTTTCTAAAATCAACTCATTTAAAATTATGATGCAATAGATCTGCAATTAGCTGAACGAACCTGAGTTCAAAATATTAACAAGCTCTTTAACTCAAATGTTATTAAACTTATTAAAATGTGCAAATATAAATATTTATTTAATTCTATTAAATAAATACAAAATACAAAACATAATAGTTGGGGTTTAACTTCAAAGAAAGGTAAAGAATGGGAAAAAACTTTCCCATTTTTACAATATATAGAGGTATTTTTTCTCTTAGTGTTTTAAGGTTTAACTTTAGACAATAAAACTGGTTTGTTCATCTGTGTGAACATGAATGTTTTCATTGAGTTTTAGAGGGAAAGCAATTGTTGCAGCACAACTTATCAAGTGTAACTACAGTACAAAAGTACTGCACAAGAGTACAAGAGTCTTTGTCATATGAAATTCTGCTTTGAAACATGCTACCAACCCTAAACTATCCATAAACCTTTGGGGGGAAAAAAAAAAAAAAGATTGCTTGATTTATTGCTCAAAATTGCATATTTTAGTCTCAGAACAGTAACCTCCTAAACACTTGTTTTTCCTTTATTCACAAGTAATATATTTTGTAACATATTTCTGAAAACATGTCCTTGAGAAAAATAGTATGTATAATACTCTTGAGCAAACATAAGGGGGGGGGGGGGGGGTCATCTGCATTAACATGGTGAGCCACACTGGCCTCTGCACCTTTTCTACCCTGCTCTCATCCTCTTAATGTCCTCCAGATACTGCTTTACTCATCCCCGACCTGACCTTTGGTTTGATGTCTTCCAGCTGGATGGCAGCTTTTAAAGACACGATAAAGTAGTGGATGCAGCTGCCGGACATGAACTGACTTCTACTGTACAAACTGTGTCCTTTAAGGACCTACTTTGACAATGTATGATGGGCCTTTGTACAATTATTCAATCCAGTAGATTTGACACAGCTAGGCTTGATCAAATGCATTACAAGATTTATAGTACTGGTGAAGCACAGAGATAGACTCCTCCACCATGCTGTTTTATTAAAGCGCATCTCTAGTCCATGACTGGTTGTGTCCCAATATGTTCTGTATGAATTGTTCTGTCAGAGAAGTGCTGCTTTATCTTGGTGGCTAACACAAATGAGTGTGAGAAACTGACCGTTATTCAAAACCACAGATTTTTATTTGAACTTCTAGCCACCGTTTCCAAAACTATCAAATAAGTTCTGTTCAATTACAGGGAGATGAGTGTAAAATTACACATGATGTGTTATTATTTGATTTAATTGTGGAAAACATGTAGCATGCTGGCTAGGTAAATGGTAAATGGACTGCACTTATATAGCTCTTTTCTCGTCTTATCGACCACTCAAAGCCACATTAACAGCACTTCCACCATACACACACACACACACTTATGCACTGATGGAACAGTCATTAGAGGCAATTTGTGGTTGTTGCCCAAAGACACTTTGACACGCAGACTGGAGGAGCCGGGGATCGAACCTCCAACCTTCTGATTGGTGGACCTCCTGAGCCACAGTGTTCCCCAAATTAAGAGCAATGGCACTAGATGAACAGTCATGTTCAATTCATCCTGAGGGAGACATGAATGTCTGTACCAAACCTCACAGCAATCTATCCAAGAGGCTTTTTACTCATATCACCTATTAGAAATGTCAGGGGATCACCAAAGTCATCATGATTCTTCCACTGTACTATGGATATTTATTTGTACAAAATTTCATCGTGATCATCTAAAAGTTGCTGCTGGACCAAAGTGAACCAAACAATACTGCCATATATCCAAAAATCCATGCCGCTAGGCTGACTTAAAAAATTTTAACTCACAAGTTGCACCTGCTTTTAAAATTTTTTCATGCTTTAAGTCACATCTCCAGCACTTGTCATCTTCCTTATTTTCTGATTGAAACAAAATCTCTGTTTCTGATATTATTACCCAACAATTGGCCTATAAAAGGTTTATGCCTCTACCTCTGAATCTGATGAATTGAAAATGAGCTCACCTATTCTAATCTACACTAAGTGAGAAAATAGAACTGAATTAAATATGCTCGCCCCTCTTCAGAGGAACTTAATAAAATCCATCACTACAGCTCACACGCCATCAATGAATGTTCAGCTAGGGACACATTTCGCTTTATATTTCCTTTGTGTGAGATAACAGGTCACTGCGAGAAATAGTGATGAAACCACCACAGCCATTTTATTCTCTGCTGAAGCCTCTATTCATCTGTGTTGCTTCATGGATGACTGATATGCCAATTACTTAAAGTCTACCTCAGAATCTGCCTTTTAATACTGCTGTGTATAAGTCACTATAACTACATGAGTATCAATGATCTCGTCAGCAATTGAGAGATTCAAGCCTAAGTGGGTCTATGTAACGTCAGCTTCACAGAATATCCAAAATGCTACACTACACTTTGCAAAACTATTAGTCAAATTCCCACATTATTATTCAGAAATGTTTTATATTCCTCCCCAGACACACTACAAAAGCTCTCAAAAGTATCTTTCATCCCTATACTCTACTCAAAGACATCGAAAATGACTTTACAACTCAGGCTGAGCTGGGTGAGCAGAGTAACATGGGACGCAATACGCTGCCTCATTCAACCTGGGGGTTAGGTCTCAAGATAAATCTAAATGGTAACAAGACAATCACAGGGATAAAAGTGAATAAGTATATGTTACACAAAATTATGTTTATTTCTTCTGACTTCCCTCTAGTTTTGTCTTTTCTTGTGAAATATTGGATTCACCTCTTTAAAACTTGAAAATTCTTTCAAATGCAACCAAAATGAATGAATAAATAAACAAAAAAAAAAACCCCAACCAACATGAACAAGAGGTCACAAGGTGTATAGGGGTCACAAGTAGATATTGTATTGCTTCATTTTGAAAAGGAGTAATTTGACATTTTGGAAAAAAATACTTATTTCACTTTCTTGCCAAGAGTTTGATGATGAGAAGATGATGACAAGATCTATACTACCATGTCTGCCAGGGGCTAGTTGACTTAGCCTAGCTCCAAGATTGGAAACAATGGGAAACAGCTAACCTGGCTCTGTCCAAAGTTAACAAACACCTCTAAAGCTCTCTAATTAAACTCATATCCCTTTTGTTTGATCTGTACCAAAAGCAAAGTCACTTTTTTCACAATTTAGTTTTTGTACAGTTTACCCTTGGACAAAGCCAAGCTATTCATTTCCCCTTGTTTCCAGTCTTTATACTAATCCAAGCTAACTGGCTACTGGCTCTCCCAAAATCAGAAACTACTCCTTTATGGGGTTACAAGCAAAGAAAGGTTGGAAAGTGCTGTGTTTTTAAGATGCTGGACCTCGCTCAGTGTAATTAAAGTAGGTGTACACAAGGACCTGTTCCGGCTCCAAGAAACTCTAATATATACTTCTGATGGGTGTGTAACTGGTGATGGGGCCAAACCCTTACCTGCTTACAGCTGCAGAGACCTGGGTCCAGTTCCTGACAGTGCAGACCTGGTCGATCCAACAAACACAATGGGCAGTGATTGCAGGTGGGAATCCGGTGCTGGTCATGTTCATCTACAAGTGTAAAATGATCATGATATATAAAATATTGCCACTGTATCTTGTTATCAAGGTATATTTAAGAAATGTCATGGTAACCAAATAATTATACTTGAACCTCTATATTCCCGATGCTATATTTAGATGTATAATGAATGCAAAATTGTTTTTCCCAACATGGATTTAGGTCTTTTTTTTTTTTTAAATGAACTGGATATATTTCTCTGTGCTGCACATGTAACTGAACTTGAATTATATTTCATGTATCAAAACGATGACTTTGCCTGCAAATTCAACCATTACAAAAGGTGACTACAGAATACTGCAAGTATTATCACTTAATCTGAATGGCTGAATACTGACTAATATGAGATATCTTTATTAAAACATGTCCAGGTCTTCAATCCAGCACCTGCCTATTCAATAGTCACATGCTGTTCATTAAGACTCCCTTTTTTCTGTCATTCATATCTCACCCTGGCCATAACTCAGCTGGGGACATGAGTGATAACAGCACCATCATGGGTCTTTTCAATTAGTTTCGGGGATGAAAAATATATAATCCTCATCCTTCATGCCAGGATGCTTTCCCAGATTACAACACAGTCTGTATTAATCATAAAATTTATGAACAAGAAGTCTGTGCTTGCATAGCCATGCCAGTCATATTGTCAGCCTCTAGGCACTGATAACTACTCATGCACAAGCATAACAAAGACAATTAAGGGTTGAAGTGTGTGTTTGTGTTCTACTTGTGGTGGTCTTTTATTCTAAACAATAAATACTAAAGAAAAATGACTCATAGCACTCCAAGTGCTGGGGCTGTTGGCTAAACAGTTGCAGAAAATAAGATGCTGCATGATGTTTATGCCAATTAAGCTTCACTCTGAAAAGGTAAAATAACTTGTACAAAAGACCTAGCTCCACAGGCACATATAATGAAGAGCTCCAAGATTCTGGGAGGTCTTTTCTAGAAATTTGGAAATTTGTCATTCAACTAAAAGCTCAGGCAAACATTCCTACAACACAGCCATGTTGCCATTAGCTTGCTAGCTTCCTGGTTCATGTTACAGGTAGAGTAAGATCACATAGGTAACATTTTAAAAACATAAATTATCATCATATATATCCATATACCCGCTGATATTAACCACCACAGAAAATGCATGGGTTGGGAAGAGGCAAACCCATTCATTAAAATAATAAATGCCATCTTCGAGGAGAAGCAGCTGTGAAATACCATGAAGATTTACCGGAGCTCAGTTAATAATGTAATGCTCTAACATTCTCTTGAATATGTTCACTTTACAGTAGCTGATGGAAACACCCTCTGATTCATGGGTAATTCAGCCAACTTTTGAGAAATTCAATAAAAATCTGTAGCAGCAGCATTAAAGCAGAGGTTTCACCTGCTTACCTACACCTGCTGCAGTTGGAGCAGCAGCAGGGGCTGCGATATATGTATCATGGAGGCAATTAATGTACTTTAAAAATAGGACAAAATTTTCATGTTGGTTGATAGATAATTATCATGTTAAATGTCAAATCATTATTTCTTTCAGGTTAAAAGTCTGATTTTTGCTCCTAAGTGAAAGTTGAAGCAACAAGACAGTTAATTATATCACAATAATTTTATTGCCAAGTGCTACTTGAAAATCCTTGGTGCCAGATAGCTGCAATTTGTGCCATAAAATATTGCTCCTTCTTGGAAATGGGTCAAATCTGAATATACAGATATGATACGAATATTGTGAGATTCAGTTATGAATTTGGCTTTCTGGGGATAAAAAAGAAAATAAATAAATAAAAAATTAAAAGATGCTCCCTATAACTCTCTGTCCCAGTGGTGACAGATATCTGAACTTAGCTGCTGCCACAATGTGATACCACACTGAAATGAAGGGCTGTTGTAAATCCATTGGTTCCACCTTTTTAGCAGAAATGGTGATGTCACATGATAGAGCTATCAAGTTAAAATACATCATTAGGCCACAAGATAAAGTGCAATGCTTAATACAATGATAAATTCCATCTCTATACAGACAAGAGACTTTGCAGTCTGTGAGTACAACTATTTTACAAATTACGAATATATTTGACCACTTTGCTTAGACTGCCTTCCTCAGTATAACAACCAGAAGAAAGCAGAAATGATCGTCAATAAATAAAAAGGGTGATTGTCCATATAATTTATGTACATGACGTTATGATATTATCCAGAGAGGTGTTTCTGATATTTAGCCTAACCTAACTGGTAAAAATGGGATGGACAAAATAATGAAAACATATGTGAGTATAATGCAATACAGTTCAACAGCACAACAAATTACGTCCTCCAAAATGATCATGAAGTTAAGGCCTCTCAAACAGTAAGTAAACATCATGACTGTCATGAGGGTATTGCAGGACTGATAAATTAGACTGCATTCGTTTCAGCTGGGTGTTCCTAATAAACTGAGCGTATGAATGCGTACGCGGTTTCAGTCATGTCCGATATATCTGGCATACAGTCTATGGTCTGTGGCTACAACAGTCAGTGATTAGTTGCCGTTCTCACCTGTCTGGACATCTGCTCTTGGTTCAACTTCTCTGCTCGTTCATTCTCAGTCTACAACACAAGCAGTCCACTCAGCCTCTACTGTGTCTCCGTCTCCTTCAAACATTTTGAGTTGAACTCCGCTCTGCGGCCACAGCAGGGACTGAACAGGAGAAAATGTGGTACACACCTCAAATGTAGCTACAAGTTTCTGCGTGCACGTGGAGGTTCCACTGACAGATAGCATGTTAGCATTTAGCTACACCGAGCATGCACCTGTTGGCCAGGCAATGTCGCAGGTGTGTTTGATTTGTGTCACTCAGTGTAACCGCCAGGTGGGGCAGTAATTAAGGATGATGCAACTTTTTCTCTTTTTTTTTTAGATCAATGCCGAGGTAATGACGTAATGCTAATCTTAACCATGGGCCCATAATGACATCATCCTTAACTTCATTGAATTTTTGTGCATTTCTTTGTTCGTACTACTTGCTGGACCCGGCCCACAAACACACGCTGACACGCGGTCAGGGAATGTAAACATTTAGATCATGTGTGTAGACTGTGAGCTCAGAGTGAGACTGTGAACACAATGACCATGATGCTGCAGACTCACCAACAGCCTCTTCTTTGCTGAAAAGTTGATTTGGCTCCTTTCACCCTCACATGGTGTATCTGACTTGATGATTTTGATCATTTACAATTGTGGCTTGCATTGACTTATATGCATTCACTTAGGCTATGTAAAATGGCAAATCAGGCCAATTGTTTTAGTTGTCTTCCTATGTGTAATAGGAATCTTTGTGATCACATCTATGTGTCTTATAAGAATCTTATATGATTTTAAAACTGGTATTATTTCAGATAATAGGTTTTCAAATAATAGGTAAAACTGCAAGATAGTGGTTTTAAGTGGATATTTTATAAGTGAACTGTGTTGTGGCTATTCTGGATCTAGCCCTTAACATGACAGCTCATATAACCTTACAAAGGTCGCCTGCACAATCAGGTTGTCCTTGTCTTTCATGAAAAAGGTGACACACACTGAACGATGGGCAGGACAAAACCATGCAATGGCTAAATTTAGATTTCAGTTGGGCTGTTTTTCACTTGACATATTTCATGTCACTGTTCTTTTGTGTATTAACCGTGACTCAAATGTAACTATCTGGCAGAAAGCATCCAGTTTGATAGTTCTGTCTTTTCAGCTTGTGATGAATTGAATTAGGCAGAAGTGACATGCATATGAACACTGCCTGAGCTCAGACAGAAATTAGGGACAAGAAATGAATTGATGAAGACTCACTAATTTCAACCCACAGCATCATCAAATGAGCTTAGTGAAAGGGCTCTGTATTGACTTGCAATTGCAGGGGTCATTTCAATTTTTTTATTTATTTATTTAAAAAAAAAAAAAGGCAATTTAATAATTTAATGAGGACAATCAATTTTAAGAATTGTCAGCAGACTGAATTGAGAAGTATATGTCCTGACATTTTTAATTGTAGAAAGGGTGTGAAAAATCCACTCCCTGAATTGAAAGTTAATGGGCCAGGTGGATACATACGGACAGCCGAGCCATTACAGTATAATTAATTAGCACACAGCATTTGCATTCCTGCGTCTTCTCTGTGAAAAGTGAGCAAAACAGTGATATGAGGACATTTTGCACTGTGAAATGTGAACATTTCAAACCAGGAGGCTGCAATTGTTGCGCTCTGTTTGTCTTGACTGATGCTCTTTTACTGATTCTCATCTCATCACAAGATATTATGATAAGAAAGAGGCCAATTCTTTGTGTGCCAGATGCTAAAAACACAGAGAAAAACCTTGTGATTTCAGACCATGTTCCTCTCATACTGGAAATACAATCTACGGATAGTGATTCTACGCAACATGTGCTGGATAACGTGATAATTAGTGAGCTTTAGAGGTGATGGTAGGCGGATTTTGTTACCTTAAGTTTGGACAGAGACAGGCTAGCTGTTTCCATCTGTTTCCAGTCTTTGTGCTAAGCTAAGTTAGCCGGCTGCTGGCTGTAACTTCTTATTTGGCTTATAGACACAAGAGAGTTGTCAAGCTTCTTATCTAATGCTTGGCAAGAAAGTGAATAAGCATATTTCCCAAAATGTTGTACTTTTCCTTTTTCTCCTTTGCATTTTTGTAGTATTTATACAGTTGAGGAGTGTCTAAAGTCTTCCCAAACATCTTTTCTTCAGGTCTGAATGTTTACCCTAATTTGCTGATTCTACAACCAGCTAACGACTCTTTCTCCATCTCTGCTGGGCATGGGCTGATAAATGTAAGATTCTTCTCTGCTATCACTTAACTAAGGTCAGACTGTGAAGAATATATGAAGACTTTCCATCCCACCAGTCTGCCTCTGCCTATAGCCATGTTTCATATATATATATATATATTCACACATATATATATGTATATACACTTGCTCATAAAGTTGGAATAAAATATTTTT